TGTCTTTCGTGATGTCGCCAAGAGCGTCTTTCTCGGTATCCTCAAGCACCTGGCGTATATCACTCAAAAATCCTAAGTTGACTTCGAGAATCTCATTCAAGCAAGTTGGAAACAGCTTCATTAACTCCTTTTCGTCCGGGCTGGTGCTAGAAACCGACTTATCTCTCGCTTTCTGTCGAAATTCGTGCGCAACATTGTGAACCAAGTCGTACATTTTGCCAACATACCTCTCCTCAGTGTCCACCACTTCGCACATAGAGAGTCGCAAAGTCTCCTTTTGCGCCGCAGCAAACACTCTTGATTTACTGGCGTTCATGGATTGCGATGGCGCACGCTTTAATTTTGACGTGGGCAAAAATATCGGATCGCCCAATGCTTCAATTAAAGGAGCATATTTACCAAACCGCTCAGCAGACTTCTGACAAGAGTCTGCATCAAATCCAGAATCCCGAGAACGCGGTGAGGTAGTATCGATGGTGCCCGGTGGCAGAACCAAGTCAACATCAATGCACGGAACAATCCTGTCCACAAAAGCATCCTTCAAGTCTGGCACAACTTGTAATACATTGTCTACCTTCGCCATTCGATTCGCCAAATCCGCTGCATGCACCTCATCGAAGAGTCTCGGCAACCGCGCACCTTGTTTCCCGGATCGCGCCAACGCCGTCAGCGCATCTCGCACCAGTTCTGACAATTCACAAAAGTATTTGAACAGGCAGACAGCCAGGCCGCGGTATATTTCGTCGCCTTGTTTCTCGCGGGGCAGGTGATTGACAGCTGCATAGAGCGGCGCAGCAGGAGAGATTGTAATCCGGGGATAACTGTGCACCCCGCTGGGTGTAATGATGTGTGCTTGAATGCGCGAGCTGCTTAACGTCGAATTGGCGGTGGTGACAGGGCCGTGGAAGATGAAAATCGACGACAGATAGGGGTCGACGGCATGGTAGAGGGTCAGCTGCTCCAACGGAAGGCCCACGAGGGAGCTGGAAAGGGAAGTCATAGCGGCGGCAAACAGGGAAGGATGCGCCGGCAGGACCTCTCCACTAATTAACAAATCGGGCAGGGAAACAAAGCACCGTGGGGCCCCGCGCTTGTCGTTTTGGGAGCTCTTGCGAAGGGCGTTTCACCGCAATTGGAAAACAACAAACACAGCGAAAATCACCAGGGCGCCTTCCACGTTCTCCTCAATAGACACGGGCGCAAAACAAAGATTCCTAAACAGCCACTCTTTCCTTTTCTCGGGCATCAAATCATCGCAGTCATATGAGAACCAGCGCTCCTGCCCAGTTAATGCTTTAAGTAGAAGAGGGCCGCAAACACACCAACCAGCTCGGGTAACTCAATCTCGGTATTTCAGATTGTAGATTGAAAACAGTCCATTATCGCTCATCCACCATTCGACCAAACGAAGAGAGGTGGGTGTTGATTCATGGAGAGAGTAAAATCGAAAAAAAGTGAAGGAGTATTTAGTTAGTTAGTTAGTGTGTGCGCGAGAAGCGCGAATATCTTCTTGAGGCGCTTAATAGTACACACATATACAGACCATCCATACATACAAGTCAGAGCGTCAAGGCGAGTGCGAAGTTGGTCGTGTAATCAGCTTCATCGGCCACTTGGATCTTGATTTAGCAGCAGAATGGCGGGTGATTGGACGCGTGAGGGTGGATCTAGCCCGTTACACGTGTTCCCTCAAAACACACAGCCCATCTGGGTAAACGATAAACAAACCGAATTCGGAGAAATCCTCATTATTACGAACTAACTTGTAGGTGGCTTGACTTGTGTGGCTATTAGCGCAGTTACATCGTAGTTACACCTGGCAGAGTCACACAGATATCAGTCCTTACAGAAAGGCCTAAAAGAATGCAATAAAGGGAATCGCGAGAAAGGAACTCAATTTGACCGAAAGCCATTGGGAGCTCGACTTTTTTCATCAGCAAGCACCATTAATTATCCTAACGAAGGAAAGGAAAGAAGGAGCGAAAAATTCGAATAGAGACGGTACTTGTAGTTATCCATTATATGTGTATAGTGTAGTAACGGCTCAAGAATGTTCAATTTGTCGTCAAGAAAAGTAACTACTGCTATCTGTAAGCGCACCCGTGAAGTGGGCGACAGCCTACATACATGTTATGGGAAATCTCATGGCATGATAGATCACTAGAAACCTATCCTTTGTCCAGATTAGAATAGAGCGCCAACATACTCCACAAAGTTCAAACATCAAGAAATGCATCGAAAGTGTACCCCCAGACAACGCAACACCGAGTTAGTTTGTTACAGTCAAGTCTTCAGCATTGTCGCCCAGATTTTCGCTGTTAAAAAATGTGAGACGCGGTCTTGGCGAGCTCGGATCAGGAAAAGTTTGGCCGCTCAAAAAAGGCGACAGATGACGTCATCACAGGCGGAGGTTTAGACCCAACCCTGCATCGAGTATATGCCATTAGCAAGAGAGAGTTCCAGTTTGCAGTTCACGTCAAAGAATGGACTCGGACGGTATTTCATGTAGTCCAACACATACCTTCTCCTTCAGCTTAGCATGGTAAGACGCGTCACGGTCCTTTCCTGCTACATGGCTATCTCGTGAACTGGATGTTGAGAAAATGCTGCCTTCTCTCTTCTGAAACCGTGATGGGGGCACTTTCGCAGCATCTGTAATAGATTCGAAGAGTTCATATTAGCGGCTATTCCAATACCACTGTGGCTGGAGCAAGAAGACAGTTCAAGGAAATGGGGTGGGCAACATACCCCATTCTTTGCTCAGGCGCCTATCTCCTGTGGGAGAAGATGATGTGGCTCTCGGTGAAGACTCTGCACGCCGAGATTCGCCTTGAGAAGAGGGCTCGGGGTCAACGATGTCGGAGTCGGCTGGAGAAGACCGTCCAGTGAAAGGATTTCTTAACTGGGGTGGCCCATCCTCTTGCATACCTGAGTTGTGTTGGCCTTCCATTGGCTCTGCTCCGACTGGCACAATGTTTTCGGTTAGCACTGAAATTGAAAAGTCTAGAGACCTTTAAAGACACGAAAGGTTCAAGGAAGAAATTGGTACAAAACGAGAAGCTATTATTCTGAGAGTGGAAGTGAAAGTCCAAGGGCATAATGTAGTTTTAAAACTTACCTCTTTCCCTTCCAGTAGGGCTGACAGCATGTCTTGTAGTTGCAGACATGATGTCAGTGAGAGTGTCGTATTGATGATGAACAAGAAATGAACTAGTCAATAGATTATCTCTTGGTGAAATGAGAAGTAGCGCAGGATTAGAAAAGTTCAGGTGATATCTCGATGCCTGTTTCACTGGAGATCAGAAGAAGTGGTAGTGACGAAATAGGGACGGTTGATCACTTGGTATTGAATGCTGATGGAACGGGAATCCAGCTTTATATAGATCTTGACTGAACAGCACAGTATCAGGACATTTGCAGCCAAGAGGGGCGAGACAGCTGCCTGCAAGAAACGACAGGTTATCATTAGTCACTTTACCCTATATGTGGAGTAAATCACACTTTAACCTTGAGAAAACGCTAGTCTCGTCCCATTCCCCCGTTTCAAACCATGGACTGAGGGAGGGGTGCTTGGTATTAGGAGCTCCAGGATTTGTTGAACAATATGTACACGCATTGGCACACGTACTGCTCTTCATGGATGGCCCCATGTATGTAGGGAGTAGGCAGGGTCTTATCCAATCCAGGCCGTTTGAAAATGCGCTCATGCTTTTCAATCCTTCGAAAGATGGTGAGAGAGCTACAGCCTGGAGCCCGCTAGCAGCCTTTCATGATTTATACCGACATGGCGAATGGGAGTGCATTGTTGCTTTGTCTCAAGGCATTTTTGAGTTTTGGAGAGAAAGCCAAACGGAGCTCACAATCATCCTTGGTTCACCCACAGCATCGAACCTTTACACAGTAACAGCCTGAACTTTGAAGAAGGTTGTCAAACCCCCAGCTAAAGTTATATGGTGTGACATGGATAACGTATACATATCTGGTCGTGAGTCGTTGCTCTGGCGCCATCATTGGCTGCGTAATACCGAGACCACTCCCCCTGAGTATGGACGGATCACTGCGCGCTCAGTGAACTTGGCACGGCATTAGCCAGGGATACTGGGATTGCTATGTCGTTGTAGCTGTCATTCCCTGAGGGGAAGATGGCTGTGCATCAGTTTTGGTCTACACAGCATTGTATGTAATTTGTTAGCTTACTAGTATTGCAAGTAGACAAGAAACATATAAAGCTCACATCATGCTGTATGCGGTTCTCAATTCCTTAGGAAGTGCTCTGTTATTACTCCTCCTCATCGCTCCAGAATAGCTGAATACATATGTATGTACTCAGTAGCACAGAAGAAAACTACTATGTAGCTTTCGCCACACCTGATTCGGGCATAAAACCAAAGAGCAGCCACGAGGACACTTGTTGATCTCATGAATCGCCGTAGATCCATGTTTGATATCTCGCTCAGCCACAAACCTCCCCAGCTCTCTCCATGTCACATGCCCTGGCTTTGTCTTTTTCGATATCATGAATATCATTGGACAGTGTCTGGCTTGATAATACAGTTAAATTTACTGAAGCAATCAGTTTACTGATATTGCCACGCCGATATCTCCATCCTTTTGCCTTTCCAAATGGCACTTATCAAAATAGCTGTGTGATACACTAGCTTCTCAGCAGCTTTCCGCCCAAATTTCTCCAAAGCTCGAGATCAGTAGACACAAGCTGGCAGGCATGCTGCACCTATTGCTGTCAAATTTCATTGGCTACGAATAGTTACCTAGAAGTATGCGAAGCAAACCCCATCTCCAAGGCTGAGATGGCTTGAAGTCGTAAACGACACTTCTGTTCTTCAACCAACACAATCAATCCCCTTTGCAGCCTTTATTTGGTATCTTGATTAAGACTCGAGTACTTCACTGCAACTACTCCATAATTACCCAGATTTTGCGGGAATTCAGGCTGAAGGAGTGAAAAACAATGGAAAGGAGAGTATAAAAATTAAGTATGATGAGAAGAGTGGGATTCGAACCCACGCATCTTTCGATACTGCGAGTCAAGCAAGCCTGAACACAGCGCCATAGACCGCTCGGCCATCTTCCCAATTTTCGCATATTTTTCAATTGATTTTTGTAGTTAAGTTCGTCGCTTTATAGGCCCCGAACTTGCACAGGCCCTGACTTAGAAGCCTAACGTAGTACCGCTCCACAACCCAGCACTGGTACTATTTAGCCATAACGAACCCACTATCTTGATATGGGCCGATTGGGGTCTGTGGTGCTGCGGACTGAATAAGAAAATTGACTCATTGACATGCAGATATATCTGTAGCTCACTAACCAGTTCGAATCGATGGATTCGACGGTCTGGTTCTCTCTTACACGTCTGCAGAGACACACGTCTTCAAAGCCCTTTGCAGATGTAGACAGTGACCCAGATACAGGCCAACAACACTGCTTCGGTAACCAACTAACTACATACATACATAACTACTGGTGGCGGTCTGGCCCTCCCAGAATTTCAAAACGGACGTTGCTTCCAGAAGACGCCCGAATAGCATGCATGTCGATGCCACTCATCTATTCCACCCCCTACCTCAGCGCTCCAAGGAGCTGAACTGCCCAAAGCACGTGTGTCAATGGAGCAAAAGCAGCTCACATGCAGACCTCGAAGCAAATCTGCCCCTTGATGAACGACTCAACTGCCGCATAAAAGCCGCTTTGAGAGCAGTGACCTTCGAGAGCCTGTGGCAGTGCTGCCTGTGGTCTGGGCAAGTCTTTGACAAGGCCTTTCGATATCCTCCTTGGGGAGAGCACAGGATTGATGCCTGCCATTTAACGTCTGGTTGAGAAGAGACACCACAAAAAGGAGTCTGGACTTCATTGCATCCGTCTCACCCTGACCCTTTAGATATGCAGCCACACACATATGGGCGACGGCGCATGGTATATACAATTATTTACGGCTGGATAATGTTAGAATGTCTCCTCTACGGACAGGCTGAGCCAGGAATTACACCCAGGATTCAGCTATTGCGGCAAGACGTGTGGATTTTTTTTCCGTGAAGGTATGAGTAACTCTTCTGCTGAGGTCGAAATTTTGTAGTGTCTCGCTAATGTACATTCTAGCTCGTAATTGATTTGCTCAGGGATAAATGCATGTTGATAAATCTCGATCAATAACTGGCCATACTAGCCATGGATATATACCACTCACATCAAAAGTCAGAAAAGTACAGCCGAATAACTTGTGCAAGATCCGACTTAATCTATTTCATCCTCACTACCAGCGGCTTTTTCAGGCTCGCTGCCGTCTTTCTCTCGGTTTGAGTCTTCCAAGGGGTGCGGCGCGTCGCTCTGTGGTGGAGACGTATGGCTAGGTTTTTCTTCCGAGGCTGAAGGGAATATTTCCTTGAACAAATCGGGAAGGAATCGGTCGAGTCTCTTTTGTGTCTCAACCCAGATTTTCTCTTTAGACGGATCTTTGCTTGGAGGCGCGAGGTATCCGCCGTCAGCCATAATGAGAAGGATATTTTTTAAGCTTTCAGGCACCGCTTCTTCCTGTGATTGACTTGATTAGCAAACCATTTCTTCGTAAATATTTTGATACCAGTGCAGAAAAGACTTACGAGGCTATCCCCTTGCCCACTATTCAGCATTCGGTCTAAAATATCAAGGATTCTCAACCAGAGATCAAGCATGCCGTCCCATTCGGAGAGCAAAACGAGGTAATGGAGAAATATCTTGCATAAAAGCGTCGCGGCTTGGACTCGTGTCTCACTCATACCCACAGGATCAGATTGGTAGACCTCTGGCTTCAGCAGGCGTAAGATTAATGGAAACAAAACCTCGCCAAAGATTGCGACCCATTCTTTATGGTCTGTAGAAGCCAGTTCTGGAGAGAGCAACGATCGTTGGAGAGCCACGATGGCTTGGTGCCTGATATCCCGACAAGGATTCAGACACTGTGTACTTAAGGCATTGAATATTGGAGACCAGTACGCCGCCCACGCTGGAATTTCGTTAGCTCTTAAATAAAACCGCAGAAATTTTGCTCAAGTATTACCTTCATTTCGCTCCAGATGTGATTGGCTGATTAGAGTCGGTATCCGGGCCGTCATACGGTAAATGATCTCTATAGCGTTCATTCCCCGAAGCACAAGTGGGTTGTCCCTACTGTATATCAGTATTATGGTGCTATCGCGGATGAAATCGGTACGTACTGCGATTTGCTTGCTTTTTTGACCGGCTTAGATCTTCTCACTGACACCTCACGCCGCAATTCTTGCAAAGCTACAATACTTCCGGAATTCGCAAAGTCATTTGCGAGGTTAACTGCTGCCTCATAATTGTCTGCATTGATCACCGGATGTTCAGATCCAACCATATTCTGTAGGAGTTCAAAAATCATGGCAGCTCCATCTAGGTGTTGATGTAATCTTTGAAGGACGGACCAGAAGTCCGGGTATTTCGTGATTTCATTCCAGAGTGGAGTCTCATTTGCAATGCTTGTGAGGCCAGCAATTGTTGGTACAGCAGCATTCTCAAGAATATCTTGTTCAAAGCTCGAGATGGAATGAAGGACGACTGGGGGTCTCATAAAGGAATATTCCTATAACCAATTAGCCTGAGGGAAGGGAAACAGCTCAAATAAAAATACGTACGTAACTACGACGTAGGAGAACTAAAAGATAATATATAGCACGAGAAAGCATCAGCGGGTGTACGTTTTTGGCATCCCGAATAATGTTTTGCAACGCTCGCGTCAAATTTTCTCCCAGTTGCTGTACTGTCTCAGTATCTCGCAATACAAGCAGTGTTGCTAATTCAAGCATATAAACAGTGCCTGCGTTATAGGCGGACTTGGCAAGATGCGGTTTGTTGCTGGCTGCCCTTGCGGAATGAATCTGTGGTCGTTCAGGCTTAACAATGATTACGGCGGGACTTGTATCGGGAAGCTTTGAAAGAAGAGTGTTGACCAGATGCGTCATAGAAGCAACAGGAATGGATCTGTCAATTTATTAGAAAGAGTACCTCAGGTAAGGACACGCTTTTACCTTATGTTCTCAAGCAACTCTGGGATGCCACATGCGTTGACACAGTCAATAGTGCACATGGTGTTTTCGATCTCTTCGTCGGACGGTTCTGGGGGATCGTCGGCTGCATAACTAGATAGATAAGATGTGAACGCAGAGAGCAAGCCTGCCTCGTTGCTGCGACCATCTCGATCAACAACTTGGGAAGGTGGCTGCAGTGGTATCGGGGGGATATCAAGACCAGAGTCCCGAATATCTAGCTGAGGAATAAGAGAGTTTATGAATAAGTATTGAAGAATCTGGACAACGTATTCCCACCCATTTTGAACGGCCGCTTCACTGCCTGAAAGTACTCGAAATAAAACAACTGTCGCAAGCTGTGCTCTGAAATCTCTTCCTAATTTAACACCAAGCTCACTAACCATAACCGTCTTCTTCCCTATCTGGACCTCAGTATTGAGAGAAGTATTGGGAGCTGTCTCGGACACCAAAGTGCTAATAGAACTAAGACAGAATATTATACGGTCAAGGGCCTCTGTTAGACCGTATTTCGCAGCGATCTTCGCGCATTGGTCAAAACCAATAACGACTCTTGAGAACACTGCATCGTCGGATGCAGACATAAAGACGTAAGAAAGCGTAGCAACCACGGGGCGCCAAGTTGCTGCGAACATCTCGGCATCAAATATATTGGAGTCACACGGAATTAAGTCGCCTGCAGTGGCCGCTTTTATCAGCAATTCTTTCCATGCGTACTCAAACGCGTGCTTGTTTTCGTGCTCATCAGGAAGAATGATCTCGTTCTGCTGAATTGAGCGATAAATACTTTCCAGATATTCGACTGGAAAGTCACCACCGGCGTTGACACCACGAAGGTTTTTAGTGAAGCCTTCGAATGTCATGCGATTTTGAGCCTTCACATTAGGATTATGTAAATCGGTGTTTAACAAAATAGTGGCATATGTCAAGATAAAGAGAGAATCTGCATCAGCAGCTTCTTTGGGCTTCGCGCCGGCAAGATACTTTTCTGCAAACACGGTCACAATTCTTTGAATTAACGGAGCCTCTCCCGGAAGACGAAAAGAACCTAGGACATTCCGAAGAGCTTCCACAATGCCAACACCCGCAAAATCAAATAGCTCCATGAAGGCCTCAAGTATCTTTTCATTCTTCCGGTTGGAAATGTATTCGCCAAGCAACCTTTTTGAAATGCGACTCGTCCCTTTCAAAAATCGGGCTATTAGTTTCGGATTCTCGATGTCCTCGATGATGCCGTTGGAAGCAAGAAATGCAATGCCTGCTTTGGGATCCTCATTGAATTTTGTAGCACCCTGAATAATTATCCTTTTCCGTTGTCGCTGCTCCTTTAACCGTTGTAAATCAGGAAGGTTTTCATATTTTGGTTCATCGTCAAGCCTATCTGCAATAAATTGGATGTATCCCAAAAGAGCGTCGAGACAAAGAGGTGGAACGTTAGTAGTGCTCCATGTAGCTGAATCAGGGAACGCATTTCGAGATAAAAGCCCAACCGTGTCTTCACAAAGATCAGCTCGATCAACGTCGCAGTCGTAATTAACAAAGAGTTCTGTCATGAAGTTCGGGATTCTTGCCAAAACCCCTATACTTTCTACCATAGCTTCCCTGGCTTCCGGCCTTCGAGATCCGCCTTCCATCCCAAGCTTTTGCCGATCTTTCACAGGAACAGGAGTCGAGCGACCACTACCTGCTTGTGAAGGAGACGGCTTCACTAATTTAGGAGCCTGGGGAACACCAGCATAAAGCGCAGGATCGATGCCTGGTTCTCTAGGGATATCTACTCGAGGATGCAGACATGCGACCAAGTATGACAGAAATAGCTCCTGCTGTAGTTTTAAAACGTGTCGACAGGTAGACAATAGCGTCCCCGCCACCCTTAGAGAACCGCTCAGAATCGCCATATTTTCTGATTTCACTAGTTGAAAGAGATACTGGCAGAGATCGTCTCTTGCCAGTTGGGCGAGGCTGGGATGCCTTGCGATGGAAGGGCCTGCAACCTCTAGCGCCACATCAATGATCCTCAGCGACATGA